ACAGGCGCACGCTACCACGCCCGGCTAATTTTTTTTATTTATTGTAGAGATGAGGTCTCGACAAGTTGCCCAGGCGGGTCTTTAACCCTCAGGCTCAGGCAATCCACTCACCTCGGCCTCCCAAAGCACGGGATTACAGGCTGAGCCACCGAGCCTGGCCGCATTTATTCTTATGTTTAAACTTGGTCACCTTCAAAGTACTCTCCATTTCATGCAATACACCTACTGAAACATTTTTTCCATTGCTCAAAACCTGATCTCAAAATAGGCAAAGTGGGGACCAAAGGGAGGCCCAAACTTTACCTGTATGATGACCACTTATTCACCTAAACCTGAATTGTACCTCACATCTTTAAAATATAAAAAATTAAAATTAAAAGAATGAGTCGAGGCCACACCTAACCATATTCATGATATGTCACTATTGGGTTAAAATGAAACCAAGTTTCAGAGACGTGTACAGTATGGCATCATTTTTGTGGAAAGCAAAAATATGGCCGGGAGGCTGAGGCGAGAGGATTGCCTGAGCCCCGGGGGTTTGAGACCAGCCTGGGCAACTTGGTGAGACATTGTCTCTACAGTAAATTTAAAAAATAAGCCGGGCATGTGTCTCTAGTTCCAGCTACTTGGAAGGTAGAGGTGGAAGGATCGCCTGAGCTCAGCAGGTGGAGGCTGTCATTGAAAGAACCCCTCCCCCAAAATTCACTGAAGCTGAACACAGTCTCTCACAATGGTAGCTGGTACACTGATGCAGATAAGTTTCTAGAAAACTTACCTAATGGGGAAGCTTGTTTTAAAACGGACCCACATTCCAAAAAATAATTCTGGGTTTTATATATACTTGTAATAGAAAAAATTTTAAAGTTATACAAATGTGGTTGAGTTGGCAGTATTCCTTTTCCTTTTAAAAATTTCTTTTAAGGCCAGGTACAGTGGCTCACACCTATAATCCCAGCACTTTGGGAGGCCAAGATGAAAGGATTGCCTGAGCCCACGGGTTCGACCAGCTTGGGCAACTTGGCAAGACCCCATCTCTACAATAAATCAAAAACTTAGCCAGGCATGGTAGTGTGTGCCTGCAGTTGCAGCTACTTGGAAGACTGAGGCAGAAGGATCACCTGAGCCCAGCAGGTTGAGGCAGCAGTGGCCATGGAGGAGTGTTACTGCAATCCAGCCTGGGTGACAGAGTGAAACCCCAACTCAAAAAAATTAAATTGAAAAAAATAAGTCTTTTAATATTAATTTTTAAAGTATTAATGTTATATTACTTTTTATAATTTATTTTTTAGCTATTATGAACAGTACACCATTGGAAACTATTTCTTGACTCTGCCTTAAAAAGAACTAAATACACCAATAAACCCCACTGAAGATTTTGTAAAATTTTAGCTGACACATAATCATTTTACATATTTATGGAGTACACAGTGATGTTTTGATACATCCAGTGTGCAGTGATCAGATCAGGGTAGTTCGCATATCCATCACCCCAACCTTTCATCATTTCTTTGTGATGGGAACATCCAATACCTCTCTTTTCACTATCTGAAGATGTATGCTGTTAACCATAGATACCCTACAGTGCCATAGAACACTAGAACTTGTTCCTCATATCTAGCTGTAGTTTCATGTCCTGTAACATATCTCCCTATCTTCCCTCACTTCTACCCTTCCCAGCCTCTGGTAGCCCCTCTTCTTCTGTTTTTTACTTTTATGAGATCAACTTTGTTTTAGCTTCTACAAATTGAGTGAAAACGCAGTGTTTGACCTTCTGCTACTGGTTTAGTTCTATTAACACAAATGTCCACCAGTTCCATTCCATTTATTATGAAATAACATGTTGCAAAGGACAGAATTTCATTCTTTTTTATGTCTGAATAGTATTCCTTTGTGTCTATAGGCACACCACATCTTCTTTATCCATTCATCATCGTGGGACACTTGGATTTATTCCATATCTCGGCTATTGTGAATATGGCTGCAGTAAACAAAGGGAGGACAGATGTCTCCAGTATATTGGATTTTCTTTTTTTTTTTTTGAGTTGGAGTCTCACTCGGTCGCCCAGACTGGAGTGCAGTGGCCGCTCCCGGCCACCACAGCCTCGCCTGTTGGGCTCCGGCGATCCTTCCGCCTCAGCCTTCCGAGTAGCCGGAATTACAGGCATGCGCTACCACGCCCGGCTGATTTTTTGATTTATTGTAGAGATGAGGTCTCGCTGCCCAGGCAGGTCTCGAACCCGTGGGCTCAGGCAGTCCACTCACCTCAGCCTCCCAAAGGTGCGGGAGACTCTTGTGTTCTTAATCACATTCATTCATTCATTCATTCATTCAACAGGCACTTACTGAGCACACATTGTGGCATTGTGGGGACACTGCAGTAAACACACAGACCCAAATCCTTGCCCTCATAGAGCTGAAACGTACACCAAACCAAACCAGTAGACGTGAGCATCAAGTAAATTCAATAGTAGAGTAAGGGCGGTAAGTGCCCTGGAGAGAAATCGAACGGTGCAAGGGGAATTTGGCCTGCGGGAGAAGATCCCAATGTAACAGATCATAGCAGAACAGCCAAGAAGGCCTAACTGAGAAGGTTGACATTTGTGCAAAGCCTCAAAGTCGAGGAAAGAACCATGTGGATACTGGGGGAAAGCATTTCTTTTTTTTGAGTCGGAGTCTCACTCTGTCGCCCAGACTGGAGTGCAGTGGCCGCTCCCGGCCACCGCAGCCTCAACCTGCTGGGCTCCGGCGATCCTCCCACCTCAGTCTTCCAAGTAGACAGAACTACAGGTGCGCGCTACCACTCCTGGCTAATTTTTGACTTATTGTAGAGATGAGGTCTCGCCAAGTTGCCCAGGTGGGTCTCGAACCCGCAGGCTCAGGCAATCCACTCACATCAGCCTCCCAAGTCACGGGATTACAGGCTGAGCCACCGAGCCCGGCTGGAAAGCATTTCATACAGCGGGAACAGCCAGTGCAAAGGCTCTGAGAAGGGAATGTGCCCGGGAACTCTGAGGGGCAGGGAAGAGGCCCTTGTGATTGGGGGAGCGAGGTGGGGAATGAGGTCGGGAAGCGATGGGGCAATTGTGCAGGGCGCTGCGGGTCAGGGTAAGGCCGTGAGACGGAGCCACGGGGGTGGCGCGGAGAGTGGAGCGGCCCTCTGTCTCTCCCTGCAGCTCTTCAACCTGATGCCCCAGTACTTTGTGAATGTCTCATCGAGGCCCCTGCTGCACACTGTGGGCCAGTCACCTGTGCTCATCCTGGGTGGCATTCCCAATGAGAAGCATGTCCTGATGACCGACTCCTACTTCAAGGACTTCTCTCTTGTGGAGGTGAGGGGGACGGGGCAGACAGCCGGCCGGGGCCTCCGGCAGGGAGCTGGGCCTCAGCCCCTGAAACGGGGTGGGAGCCTTGGGCCATAGAAGGCGTCCGCAGCGTTACACCAGTCCCCATGAGAGACAGCATGAAGAATAAACACTGGCTGGGCGTGGCAGCTCACACCTGTAATCCCAGCACTTTGGGAGGCGGAGGCAGGAAGATCACTTGTGCCCAGGAGTCCGAGACTAGCCTGGGCAACAGAGAAACCTCGCCTCTACAAAAAGTAGAAAAATTAGCCCAGGAGGTCGAGGCGGTGGTAAACCGTGATCATGCCACTGTACTCCAGACTGGGTGACGTTGACTCAGGCCTGGCTTGATTTAGGGCTGAAATGAGGATTAATCCACTTCTCCTGGATTAGTCCATTCTCAAAGTGGTTTATATCATCTCAACTCCCAGGTCAGAAAAAAAGAGCATCTATTTCCCGCATAGTTTAACATTTTTTTTTCCCCCTGAAATTGAGTTCCTTGGACCTGCTTGGTCCACCTCGAGTCACGTGTCTCAAGCTAATAAAATCCCAAGCCAGCTGGCTTAGCACAGGTCAGGAGCGCTGACCTAATGGAAGGGCAGCTTAGATTAGAGTCAGAGGAAGGATGGTCCGCCAGAGTGAAGTCAGAATAGCTTTGCCACAAGATGAGGTGGCAGGGCTGTGCCACTGCACTCCAACCTGGGTGACAGAGTGAGACCTTGACTCAGAAAAAGAAAAAACCCACAGGATTCTGCAGCTGGTGGGGGGGGCTAGGTTCAAAACATGTATCTGTTGCTATCTGTCACCTTGGTCCTGATTGGTCCACTTTGTGTCACATGTCTCAAGCTAATTACCCACCCCAGTTAGCTGGCTTAGCGCAGGTCAGGAGCGTGGGTCAGTTGTGCCCAAGATGGCAACTGTGCACTGCAGGAGCACAGTAACTGCCCTCACCTCCTCCCATCACGGCCCCAAACATCCCACCGCCCCACGCCCCACACAATCCCCTCCCTACTCCTTTTTTTTTTTTTTTGAGTTAGAGTCTCACTCTGTTGCCCAGACTGGAGTGCAGTGGCCGCTCCCGGCCACCGCAGCCTTGACCTGCTGGGCTCCGGCGATCCTTCCGCCTCAGCCTTCCAAGTAGCCGGAACTACAGGTGTGCGCTACCACGCCCGGCTGATTTTTGATTTATTAGAGATGAGGTCTCGCCAACTTGCCCAGGCAGGTCTCGAACCCACGGGCTCAGGCAATCCACTCACCTCGGCCTCCCAAAGTGCTAGGATTACAGGCTGAGCCACCGAGCCCGGCCCCCTCCCTACTTCTGAGAACCCCATGTGGACTAATGTTCTCCTGGCTCCTCTGGTTCCTAATTCCTACTTTTGCTGAGTTCTGCCTGTGGCCCATCTTCCTGTCCTGCGTCAGCTTTCTCTCTTCTGGGCCAGGTCTACCCAGACCTTGTTCACTTTTCCCAGACTTCTGACCCCAGCATACCCACACCGAATGTGTGGTTGATGCAGATTCTGCTGAAGAGATTTGGTAGCAGAGAGGGGGTTGACATCACGGGCATGAAAAACGAGTTCAGTGTCAACGTCAGGTGTCCTAATTCTTGTTCCTTATTTGTTTTTAATTTATTGAGGCGAGATTCATACATTTAACCATTTTATTTTTTTGAGTCAGGATCTCACTATGTTGCCCAGACTCAAGTACAATGGCACAATCCTGGCTCACCACAGCCTCTCCCTCCCAGGCTCAGGCATTCCTTCCGCCTCAGCCTCCTGAGTAGCTGGGATTACAGGTGTGCCAGCTAATTTTTTGATTTTTCTGTAGAGATGATGTCTCGCTATATTGCCTAGACTGGTCTCGATCTCCTGGGCTCATGTAATCCTCCCACTTCAGCTTCCCAAAGTGTTGGGATTATAGATGCGTGCCAGCGTACCTGACCTAAAAAAGCTATTATTTATTTGAAAACTTTAGGGGGTACAAATGATTTCTGGTTCCATGGTTGCAAAGAAGTCTGGGCTTTAAATGTGCACACCACCCCCACCTGTGCACATTGTACTTAGGGGGGTTTTCTTGTCCCTCCATCCCTTCCCCCCTTCAAGTCTGTAGCTTTGATGACTCATCATACTTAAAGCATTCCTCTGTTATTAATATTTGAATTGACACCTCTGTTTTCTGGACGAAATATTGGAAATTTCTTTTGTTAAGCTCGAAGAGGATCACCACGTGTTGCTGTTTTCCCACATACACAATGAAAAGAAAAGCCATGGATTTTTGTTTTCTTTTTTTTCTTTGAGTTGGAGTCTCACTTTGTCGCCCAGGCTGGAGTGCAGTGGCACACTAACGGCCACCGCAGCCTCGACCTACTGGACTCAGGTGATCCTTTCACCTGAGCCTTCCAAATAGCTGGAACCATAAGCATGTGCCGCCATGCCCGGCTAATTTTTTGATTTCTTGTAGAAATGAGGTCTCGCCATGTTGCTCAGGCTGCTCTCAAACCGCTGGGCTCAGGCAGTCCTCTGGCCTCTGCCTCCCAAAGTGCTGAGATTATAGGCTTGAGTCACCACACCCGGCAATCGTAGATTTCTTATGGAGCAGTGGGAGTTCTGGCCTCACTGAATTTACTAAGGATTTTGTTGGGTCCCTGGCCACAATGATTGCCTGGGGGTCGGCAAGCAGCCTGAGCCTCGCCAGCTGGAAGGAATCTTGGGACTTTGGGGATAAAGGGATATAATGGAAGATGTCTTCCACCGGACATGAGCCTGAGGAGATGCAGCCTCTGCCGTCTTCAGTTCTAGAGACCAGAGCTGTCTTGTACATAAGGTAAATACAGAGGAATCGCATGTAAGCGATGGAGAGGGAGACTCAGTTGAGCCTGAAGACCTGAATTTTTCGGTTACGTGAACCGCAAATTTCCCTTTCCACTTGCAGCAGATAGCTAGTTAAGGCCCCAAATCTATTTTCCCCATAGTTTTTGGTGACTGGGTTTAGCTCGGCATGTGCCGCCCAGCCTCCCTTGCAGCTGGATATAGCCAAGTGACTAATTCCTCATTAGGGAAATGTGAGAGGAAGTGAAACTTGCTTAAACGAAAATGGCTTGCTGTCAGGCACAGTGATTCGTGCCTGGAGTCCCAGCACTTAGGGAGGCCAAGGTGAAAGAGAGTCCCAGGAGAAGAAAATGGTTTGCCCTCTGCGTCTACGCTTTTCCTTTTCCACTGGCTGGAACCTGGACATGGGCACGACCCAGGTGTCAGCACACAGAGATCAGCACGTAGGACCTCGGGGATGGTGAAGCAGGAGCTGGAAGGGACGGAGGTCCTCACCTCTGGGTTGTCATGAGAATGATTGATGGTGTCTACTTAAGCCACTCCTGCCAAGGGAGTTTGTTATAGCATCTAAGCCAGCACTCTTGGCTGAGGAGAGCCAGGAAGGGGGAGAGTCTGAGTTTCTGAGGGCAGCCTGCAAGGAGTGGTGAAGAGAGACAGAGCAGGGAAGAGACAGGGCAGTGGAGTCCTAGGAAGAGATTCCACAAGTAGAGAATAAGAAAAAGCAGGGCTTTATTTTAGAGTTATGGAAAATTTTTTTGAAGCTAGATAGTGGTGGTAGTTGCACAATAATGTGAATGAACTGGGCACCACTGAACTATTCACTTTAAAATGATTAAATGAGCTGGGCTCGGTGGCTCAGCCTGTAATCCTGCGCCTTGGGAGGCTGAGGTGAGTGGATTGCCTGAGCCCGCAGGTTCGAGACCCGCCTGGGCAACTTGGCGAGACCTCATCTTTACAATAAATCAAAAATCAGCCAGGCGTGGTAGCGCGCGCCTGTAGTTCTGGCTACTTGGAAGGCTGAGGCGGAAGGATCGCCAGAGCCCAGCAGGTCGAGGCTGCGGTGTCCATGAGACCACTGCATTCCAGTCTGGAACAGAGTGAGACTCCTACTCAAAAAAAAAAAAAAAAAATCACACACACACAAGTGGGGCATGGTGGAAAGAAAAATGGCAGAAAATGAATTGATATTGAAGGTGGGTGATAGGTATGTGAGAGTTCACTGTATCATTCTGTTCTCTCTACATTAGTGGGATTGAAGATTTGCATATGCAAGAGGTGTTAAAAAAATCATAGGCTTTTTGGAGGTACAGGTTAGTTTCTCCAGACATAGGCCAACTTCTGCAATCTGGGGTGCTTACAAGGCTTTTATTGAAATGATCTATTTTTTTGAGTCAGAGTCTCTGTTGCCCAGGCTGGAGTACCGTGGCATGCTCAGAGCCACTGCAGCCTCAACCTCCAGGGCTCAGGTGATCCTTCCACTTCAGCCTTCCAAGTAGCTGAAACTATAGGCACGTGTCACCATATCCAGCTAATTTTTTGATTTATTGTAGAGCCAAGGTTTCGCTATGCTGCTCAGGCTGATCTTGAACCCCTGGATTCAGGCAATCCTCTCACCTCATCCTCCCAAAGTGCTGGGATTACAGGGATGAGCCACTCTTCCCAACCTAGAGTTTTACTTTGATTTGTTCTTTTTATTGAAAAAGTTAGCAGAAAATTCCTTTTTAGTGGAAAATTTCAATCAGACACAAAGAGAGAATGCTATAACGAACCCAGCTTCAATAATGATCAACATTTTGCCTTTTTCATTGTCCTATTCTTTTCTGAATATTTTTATTTATTTATTTATTCTTCTTGAGTCAGGGTCTCACTCTGTCACCCAGGCTGGAGTGCAGTAGCATGAGCACAGCTCACTGCAGCCTTGACTTCTTGGGCTCGAGTAATCCTTCTGTCTTAGCCTCCAGAGTAGCTGAGTCTACAGGCATGCACCACCATGCCTAGTTTGTTTTTGTTTTTTGTAAAGATGAGGTCTTGCTATGTTGCCTGAGCTGGTCTTGAACTCCTGGACTCAAGCAATCCTCTCACCTTGACCTCCCAAAGTGCTGGGATTACAGGCATGAGCCACTGTGCATGACCTGGAATATTTTATTTATTTATTTATTTATTTGAGTTGGAGTCTCACTCTGTCACCCAGACTGGAGTGCAGTGGCCGCTCCTGGCCACCACAGCCACACTGCTGGGCTCCGGCGATCCTTCCGCCTCAGCCTTCCGAGTAGCTGGAACTACAAGTGCACGCTACCACACCCAGCTCATTTTTGATTTATTGTAGAGATGAGGTCTCGCCAAGTTGCCCAGGTGGGTCTCGAACCCGCGGGTTCAGGCAGTCCACTCACCTCTGCCTCCCAAAGGCGCGGGATTACAGGCTGAGCCACCGAGCCCGGCTGACCTGGAATATTTTAAAGAAAATCTCAGCATTCATGTCATTTGAACCATAGATTCTTGAGGAAGTATCTCTAACACTTGAGGACTTTTAAAAAATAAAACCACAATACCATTATAATACCCAGCAAAATTAGCCATCATTCCTTAATATCTAATACCAGACGATAGGTCTAATTTTCCACAATTATCTAAAAAAGCCTTTTTCTTTTTTTTTTTGAGTTGGAGTCTCACTCTGTTGCCCAGGCTGGAGTACAATGGCAGGCTCACGGCCGCCGCAGCCTCGACCTGCTGGGCTCAGGTGATACTTCCGCCTCAGACTTCCAGGTAGCTGGAACTACAGGCATGCACCACCAAGCACTGCTATTTTTTTGATTTGTTGTAGAGAGGAGGTCTTGCCCAGGTGACCAGGTTGGTCTTGAACCCCTGAGCTCAGGCAGTCCTCTCGCCTCTGCCTCCCAAAGTACTGGGATTACAGGCGTGAGCCACCACACCCTGCTTCTCAAACTGTCTTTAAAGTTTGTCCGAGTCAGAACTGACACACTGCACTGGGTTGTTCAGTTTCCTGACTCTTCTCACCTGTTTAGAAAATCAGTTCTTTTTCCTGTAGAATTTGACCGCTTGCTCCTCCTTCGTGGTGTTGATTAACTTGTTCCTCTGACCCCGTGAGTTAGGCTGCTCAGGCTGCCCCAGTGGAATGCCACATACCGTGTAGCCTAAACAACAGATGTTTCAGATCTCAGTGTTTTGGAGGCTGGAAGTCCAGGATCAGGATGCCAGTAGGGTAGGTTTCTGGTGAGGGCTTTTCTTCGGCTTGCAGGTAGCTGTGTCCTCACATGGCCTTTTCTCTGCGCAGAGTGGAAGGAGAGTGTCCTCTGATGTCTCTTCCTCAAGGACATCATTTCTGTCAGGTCAAGCTCCAACCTCAGGCCCTCATTTAATCTTAATTACCTCCTAAGCCGGGCTCGGTGGCTCAGCCTGTAATCCCAGCGCTTTGAGAGGCTGAGGTGAGTGGATTGCCTGAGCCTGCGGGTTCGAGACCCGCCTGGGCAACTTGGCGAGACCTCATCTCTACAATAAATCAAAAAATTATCCGGGCGTGGTAGCGCGCGCCTGTAATTCCAGCTACTCGGAAGGCTGAGGCGGAAGGATCGCCGGAGCCCAGCAGGTCGAGGCTGCGGTGGCCGGGAGCGGCCACTGCACTCCAGTCTGGGCGACAGAGTGAGACTCCGACTCAAAAAAAAAAATTACCTCCTAAACAGCCCTATCTCTAAACACAGTCACATTAGGGCTTCAACATTGAATTTTGGGGGAACCACAATTCAGTCCATAACGTCCCATATTGCCTATAATCTGGCAGTAAGCTCCAGAAACTTGATTACATTTCAATTCAGTCTTCTAGGTGAGAATCCTTCCTGTGCTTTTTCCCTCTAGTGATGTCCTCGGGTTAGAAATGGGTCAGTGGCCGGGCTCGGTGGCTCAGCCTGTAATCCCGTGCCTTTGGGAGGCTGAGGTGAGCGGATTGCCTGAGCCCGCGGGTTCGAGGCCCGCCTGGGCAGCGAGACCTCATCTCTACAATAAATAAAAAAATCAGCTGGGCATGGTAGCGCATGCCTGTAATTCCAGCTACTCGGAAGACTGAGGCAGAGGATCGCCGGAGCCCAGCAGGTCGAGGCTGCGATGGCAGGGAGCGGCCACTGCACTCCAGTCTGGGCGACAGAGTGAGACTCCAACTCAAAAAAAAAAAAAAAAGAAATGGGCCAGTGGACTCAGGCGATGTAACCTGTCAGCCAAATGTGTTCATTGGTAGAACAGGATGCAAAGGCGTGCCCTGGGGCCAGGTGAAGTCGCTCACACCTATAATGCCAGCACTTTGGAAGGGCGAGGTGGAAGGATTGCTTGAGCCCAGGATTTCGAGACTACCCTGGGCAACAATAGTGAGACCTCCTCTCTAGAAAAAATAAAAGAATTAGCTGGGCATGGTGGTGCATGCCTGTAGTCTCAGCCACTTAGGAGGCTAGGGTGGAAGGATTACCTGGACCCAGGAGGAAAAGGCTGTGGTGAGCCTTGATCATACCACTGCACTCCAGCCTGGGTGACAGAGTGAGACCCTGACTCCAGGAAAAAAAAAAAGTGCCCTGGGCCAAGCATGGGATGTTTTGTATCTAAGTGGGTGCAACCCTGACTTCAGCCAGGGCAAGCTTCCCAACTCCAGGGGGTCCACAGAGCCTGGACTGGCTCAGGCTTAGGGCCCTTTGACAGTGGTAGGAACCAAATTAAAATTGGTTTAAGCCAAAGAAAAGGGATGTTTATCGGTATACATAGCTGAAAAGTCCAGAGGCATGGTGGTTTCAGGAACAGCTGGATACAGGGGCTCGCTGTCACTGTGCGCCTGCTTGCCTGGCTCATATTCGGGAGTCTGGCCACCCAGGCGCTGCCGTAGGGTGAGCAGGGAGAGCGCCCTGGGGCAGCTTCCCAAGTGGGCTCAGAGCTGGAGCGGCCCGCAGGGCAGGCGGGCCGAGGCCACCCGCTCACCCCCGGCTTCTGCCCCTGCAGTTGAGCATTGACAGTTGCTGGGTAGGCTCCTTCTACTGCCCCCAGACCGTGTTCACGGCCACCATCTACGACGCCATCGCCACCGAGAGCACCCTCTTCATCCGGCAGAACCAGCTCGTCTACTATTTCACAGGCTCCTACCCCATCCTGCACGAGAGCGACCGCAGCAGCGGTGAGGGGCCGTGGCCGGGCCGCGCTGGGGGCGGGCACCTCCGGGGACCACCCACCCCGGCGCCTGGGCCCAGCGTGGCGGTGGGTGGAGGGGCAGCCTGCCCACGTGCGCA